AGACTGCTTCCATTCTTCCCACTTAACTTTAGCAAAGTAGGAGACTTATATGTGGGAGAAAACAAAATGAGAGAGTTCTTAGTGATTATAATATAGTATATTGGTTATGGCTACACATACATACATGACAAGATACATTTGGCATAGTAACATTCAGACCATTGACATAGATGTAAATGACCACCAGACTTACTGCTGAGTGGTAAGGTCTGTTCTGTCTCTGTTACATTTATACCCAGAACAACCAATCACATTTCACCATTTACAGCTGGTCTTGCTTAACAAACAAGCATTACATCAGCTTGTTACATCTGCATGCTGTTAGTCATTACATTGGCTTTTACCTTATATACGTGACTCTGCACTTCATTACGATATTAAAATTTAACTCCCTGTTCACCAAAAGAAAAAAATCCTGACAGTGCACGGGCGCATGCTTGAAGGGGTGAGGGAATGCGTGCCGCCGCCGCCGGCCGAAGCCTGGGAGTCTTTTTAAAAAAATTTGACTAAATATTTTTTATGTTACTCCTCGCCGACCTCTGCAGGAAATTCAAATGCGGATCATAACCCAATTATGTTACAAATAGGCAGCAGACCAAGAGAATTCAACTGGAAATATATTACACTTAAAAAATGAAGAATTCAAGAAACAAGCAAAAGACAACCATTCCTTTTTTCATCAGAGTGCTAAACAACTCCATAAACAATTTTCTATTCCACTTTCTCAAGCTTGGGACATCGTCTCCTCCTGCTCTTCCTGTTTCATGTCTCTCATTTCCTTTCCTTTTGATGCTGTTAACCCACGAGGAATGGATGCCATTCAGCTTTGGCTTATGAATTTTACTCATATTCCTACTTTTGTGCCTCTTTCTTATGTTCATCTAACTATTGATACTTTGTCAGGATACATCTGGGCTACCCCTCTTCGTGGCGAGACTTCTCACCATGTCATACAACATTGTTTAGGTACGTTTGCAATCATGGGCCGGCCTCAAGCCTTAAAAACAGACAATGGCCCTGCCTATACTCTCATGCCTTTACCACTTTCTGCAATGAATGGGACATTCGACTTTCCCATGGTATTCTTTATAACTGCACAGGACAGGCTATTATAGAACGAGCACTGCTCTTTTAAATTTCTCCTTTCAAAAAACAAACAAACAAAAACAAAGGGATTAAGCCCCAAGATGTTCCAGATGTAGTATCAATAGCATTATTCACATTAAATCATTTAACTGTATCTGCAGGTCAGCATAAATTGTCGCCAGTAGAGAAACACTTTCATAAAGAAATCACCATGGAATGGCCACTGGTGACTTATAAGCAACCTCCTGACCCTCAATGGGAGGGTCCAGCCCCTTTACTAACATGGAGGCACGGCTATGCTGCTGTGCTTACTCCCACAGGTTTCTTGTGGATCCCCGCTCGGTGTGTGAGGCCATATAGTGGGAAGAATGAGTTGGCATTGTAACCTGCAGGACCCAATTCTGGAATTCAACCCAGCAATGGCCCTGGAGCAGGACCAGATGACTGCAAGTCTGCAGAAGCGCTTGGCCTGACCTGAAGGCACTCAGTCAAAAGATACTTGGGGGATGATAAAGACACTGAGTGCTGATGCAAAAAGAACTCTTAAATCAGCAGCAGATCCCAGAGACTCCAGAAAATTTTCTAGCAACCACTATCTCACAGCTGAATGCCAACTCCGTGACACTGTTGTGTTGTGTTCTCATTCTTGGAGCAGTTCCAACAGGTGTCACGGAGGCTCGAGAGGATTTGCATGCTCATCTGCAATTTAACTTATGGGATAGGTTGGCGGAAATTGTGAACGCCTCTCATTTCTGTCTGCTGGAGGCATATGCTATGCATGGATTACTAGGAACTTGCTTAATTCCTGTCTGTAAAGAACCTTGCAATATTACTAATGACACTTGGTTAGGACAATAGTTGAATGCCACTGTCATTAAGTACACTAATTCTCCTGACTGGGGGCAAACAACAAAAATGCTACCCATTGATGCCTTTCCCCTCTACATCCCTTTTGAAGCATTTAATGAAAACATTTCATGTGCCAGACTTGCCAACTATTCCTCTGACACATGCATTTCTACAACCAAAGCCACATGGAATTGTACCCATGCTGTCAATATTTCTTATAATTTGCCACAAACCATTCTACCTACAGGGTGGTTTTTTACATGGCATCAATGTACTTTTTGCTACATTCCAGCCAGTCTGTCAGAAACATAATGCTGTCTTAGTAGGTTAGTAATCAAGTTAATGCAACCTTTTGCCTTGCAGAACTCCTAGACTTGGCTGAGACAAGAAAGCTTGTCTCTTGATAGTACTTGTGATGGTAATGTTACTTTGTTATCCAAAGCAGAATATGTTTCTCTGGCTGCATTGCTTGTTGGCATTCCTGGCCTTGCTGTTCGTAATTCTTGCACTCTTGCCAACATTGCGTGCTCCTTAACTCAAGCCATTAACAGTACTTCCACTGCTATTGCCCTGCTGAATCAGAAACAATGACAACTATGTGACAAAATGTGAGAGGGAAGCTGAGCAAGAGAAAGAGAGTGTGCCGTCCCCTCAGTGTCTGGAGAGAATCAGATGCAAAGAGGAAATAAATGAATCAAAGAAAGATAAAAATGGAGAAGAGGTAAAAGAGGAAAAGGAGATAGGAAAAGGAAAAGAGGGAGAAGTAAGCACGAGAGAAGAAGAATCAGAATCAGGTGTGCGCAAGGGGGAGAGAGGAAAAAGAGCAAGGAGCGCAAGACGAGGGGGCGCTGAGGCAGGAGCGTGAGACAAGGGAAACATTGATGGAGTTGAAGTTAACGGAAGAGTGGGGAGGAGGAAAACTGAGAGATACGACAGACGGATGTTTTCCTGACCACTGAAATAAATGATAAAGCAACTGAGACAGAAAAAGTAACCGTATATGAAGAAGAGTGGGGAGAGAAAGCAATGGATGAATCGAAATTGTATAAAATACATAGAAAGAGTCAAAGTTGGGAAACAGAAAATGCTTCTAAGAGATCACATGTAAAAGAGTCAGGAAAACCAATAATTAAAGGCTTGCACCCTGAAGAATGGACAGTCCTGGTTTATCCCAAAAACTCCAGACCAGTGAAGTATGTCCAGCACTGTTACGTTCCCAGGGGTTTCAACAGCAAAGTCCGATAAGCCAGTCCAATGTCAGAAATTCAGAAAATGCAGAGCCATATCAAAATGCCAAAGCCAAATCACAAACTGTAATCCGAGGTCAGGGTCCAAAGCCAAATCACACAACGTAGCCCAGGGTCAGAGTCCAAAGCCAAGGGTCCAGAGAACAAGGTTCAAGGTAGTCAGGGGCGTGGATGTGAGCCACAGATTTGACTTGTTGCTTCCACAAGCTTCCTAGCCGTCTGGGAGCTGATTATATAACAAAACAGTCATTGAACTGCTGGAAGCCTTTTCATCCTGTCAGTACTCAGGACTAGCTGACCTGATGTTTCTGTGGGCAGCATTCAGGCGATTCTCTTACCTTTGCGTCAAAAGTCTTTGCCAGAGTCTAGCCCTCACCCTGGCTACTGGAGGAGGAGAATCTTGTGGCGATTCAACTGTCTGTGCTTCTAATCGCTCAACATTCTCCTCAGCTATAGTTAACCCCTCAGGTTCCAGATCTTCGGCTGAACTCATGACAATCACCTGCAAACTCCATTACCCTGACCAGGCGAGAAACCTCCTGAGGGCAAATGGTCTCGCCACCCATGTTGCAGGACCATTTGTGCAGTATGCAGCAGTTTCCTGAGGAAGCCAACAGATCAGCAACATTTTGCAAAAACGTATCATTAAATAATGAAAATAATGAGAAACCTTTAATGTTGTTGTGGGATTGTTCCCCACTAAAGTTATCGTTGAATGAATCAGTTCTGTTAAATAAAGAAGAAACCAATAGTTCTGTTAATAAAAGTTATTTTAATGAAACACCTATGTTGTCATTCCATTTGCATGAAGAGGAACTGCCAAAAGCGTTAAACGAACCTTGTCACACAGAATAATTGCTTTAACGTATCTGATAATAATCATGCAGTAAACAACCAGCTTGCTCAGCTTAGACAGCTTACCAATAACATAAGACAGGACATACTTCCCTCCTGGTGGGACAGTTTGTGGTCATGGTTGCCCTACTTTGGATGGCT